TACAATTAAACAAAACAAGTTTAATAAAATATTTGAATGCGAATTCGATAAAAAAAAAAAAAAAAAACTCGTGAACAGGTAAAAATTAAACGACCCGATGGTAGGTTAACTTAATAAAATAATAATAGTTAATTTATAAAGAAAAACCCGACATTTATTGTCCTAATTTTTTTTTTTTTTTTATTCAAATTTAAAATAAAATTTTTCCGGCAGTTTCCCCTCCTCCCCTCCCATATTTATTTTTCTCGAAAGAAAAAAAAAAAAACGGCGACAAACTTTTATATATCCCTTATGGTTTTTTTTTTTTTTTTTTTTTTCAAGTTTTTTCCCTCAATCCCTGATCGATTCATATTTTTTGACATAAATATGAAAAAAAAAAAAAAAATAGGTTTTGGTTTTTGCGTTTTAAATTTAGCTTTTTTTTTTAAAAAAAAAAAAAAAAAAAAAAAGACTTTGTCAGCATGAAAGGAAAAAAGAATAATTGACTTCCTTGCAAAAAGGATTTAATTTCATTCGAAGAGTTTACGAGAAAAGTCCTTTTCTTTATTATTATTATTATTATTATTTTTCCTTAACTTTGTATGTGTTTTAGAAATACGATGAAATTTAACTTTTTTTTTTCGAGTCGAGTAAAAAAAATTTTTTTTTTTTGCTACCGTTTACCGGATATCAAAATAACATTAAAATGAGACTTTAGAAATTTATTCTACAACGTTTTGGACTTCATTCTACGATCTATATTGTGAGTCTAACTAAATTAGATTTAACCGTATCAATAAATTAATGGTTACTAATTATATTTTAATTATCACTTTGTTTTGACTATGACACACAAAAGTATCAGAGAGAGTTTTTCGCTTATGCGAAATTATTATTAAAAAAAAAAAAATCAAACTTGCGTATTATTATAACGTTAATTTTTTTTGTATTTAATTTAAACGGCGTCGAACTTAATTGAGTCTAAAAAAATTGTAACTATTATTTGGGCCACCGGATGATATTTTGATTCTGTTAATTTCATTTCCTTCAACAATAGGAAATCCTAAATAATAAAATACGCTATCACACACACATACACACACGCACAAAAGAAAAAATTATCAGTCACCATGACTGAAAAATTTATTTTTTTTTTTTTTGAAAAAAATAATAATAAAGATAAAAACTAATAAAAATCAACAATCAACACTAAAAAAAAAAATATTTCTATGAGTTTATAACAAAAATAATGACAATGATAATAAGTTTAGTTGATTTTTATTTCAAATGAAAGCCAATTTGCCATTCATGAATTATTATAAATGAGTAAGAAAAAAAAAAAAAAAAAAAAAAAAAAAAAAGAAACAATATAAGCCATTTAATTCCAACGACGACAAACCTACACAATATGTGCTATTTTAAAATACCACCAATAATCAACCACAGTCATACAAAGTTTAGAAAGAAAAAAAAAAATCACATTAAAATTTACAAAAAAAACCCTTAATTACTTTTTAACAAAAACTCAAATTATTATACGACCACCGAATCGCGATTGTGAAACTTTATTATTATTATTATTTATTATTAAATACAACAAAAACAACAACAACAACAACGACGACAACGACGACACTTTCACAATCCAAAGAAAATTAGATACAACTAAAAATCTTAACCGCGGTTTTTTTTTTTTGCTTTTTATACGGCTATGATTCGTATTCGTATATTGCATTTCGCTTTATTTGCTGACAAAGGCGAAAAAAATCTTTTTTTTTTTTTTTGTTACTCGCGGGTTTAACTTTTTTTTTTTTTTCCCCCCATCTTTTTCTTTTGTTCCATTGTAAGAGATGGATTGATCGCAATTAGAAACAAACGAAAAAAAAAAAAAAAAAACCCTATACCGACAAACTAAACAACAATTTTTTCCATTTTTTAGAAATGCATTGTCTCATCATCGCAAACAAATAAATCACGTAAACGAAATTTAAAAAAAAAAAATTTTTTTTTTTCTCTCTAATAAATATTGCGTTTAATAAAATTTCCATTGAGTTGTTCTTTACATCATTATATAAAGAAATGTTTTTTTAAATTTAAAAGAGCGCGAACAAAATAAATATTTTTTTAAATTACTAGCGATTTGCAATCATATCAAAGCAAAAGAAATTTTTTTTTTTTTTTTTTTTTAAATAATAATAATTTGAAGCAGCCTAATTGTTCATTAATAATTTTTTTTTTTTTTTTTTGCTTTAATTTATATTTCGCGTAAAAAATTTCAAAAATTTATTTACACAAAGATAAATGTGTAGTTTCGCTAAACTTTGGCACGATACTAAATAACATCATCATAAGAGTCATCACACAATCAAGCAAATTTAATTAGATGAAATGTAATTTTTTTTTTTTTTTTTTTTATATGGCTAACAACGTTTAATGCGCTGATTATATCATAATTTTTTTAAGACGTAAATAAACTAAACTAAACTAATTTTAGTTTTATTGAATGAAATTTTTTTTTTATTTTATTTACGTCAGATATTTGAAATACCTGGGAGGAAAGTGTAAATAATTACTATTTTCGGTTTTTGGCAAAAAAAAAAAAAAAGTTTTCCTCTCTCTCCCTCCTTAATATTTTATGTTTACTCTTATTGTTTTTATAAAAAAAATTAATAAAACTTTACCTCCAATCGTGAGGAACGAATCCATCGCACTTTTCTCTACAAATTTCACACGGTTGTCCGTAATCCACTTCCTGAACCCAAATCCCCTGTGAAATTAAAATTAAGTATTAATAACAATGGGGAAAGAAAGAAAAAAAAAACAGTATAAAATTAATTTCTTGTTGTTTTAATAAAACCAATGGAAAACGTTACGAAGAGTTTAACAAAGTACAAAAGTGTAAAAGTATTTTTTTTTTTTTAACAGGCAATTTTATACAAAAAAAAAAAAAAACATGATAATGCTATCAGTTAATTAAATAAAATAATAATAATAATAATAAAAAAATTGTTTTCTTTTACTGTGATCGAAAGGTGTAAGGTCTTAACTCGGATGATTCATTTAAATTTTAATGACACAAGCGGGGTTTATTTTGCTATTTATGGTAGTAGCAAATTCATGACTGGCCTCATTTCCAAGGTTATGATTCTTAATATTTTGACTGACTTTTGACATCTTATTTGTTTGCACTGCATTTAAGGTTTTCATTCAATTGATGAGAAAGAAATATGAGTAAAATTTGCTTTAACAACAATTAAATCCTTTTTACCAGTCATTACTCTTAAATTTCAATAATGGATGCTTTTTTTTTTGTTTACTTTTTTTATTCATCAAAAAAATAAAAAAAAACCTAATTAAAATGGGTAAATTTTAAAAAGGAAGAGTTTTTTTAAAAAAATAATTTTTTTCTCATAAACATGAGAACACACAAAAAAAAAGTTCAATAAAACCATTACTTTTTTTTTTTTTTTTTTTAACGAGCGGTTTGGTTTTGAACGAGATAATTGTTATGCTATTGACCTAGGAATTAAAATTACCTTCATGCAGGTATGTCAACTTGTAATTAGAAATGTTTTAAATCAATGCTCTAATAAATATGAATCAATCTATTTATGTAAATAAAAAAAAGAAAAAACAACACAATAATAATGATGTGAAATGCAAAATTTTTTGTTAAAGTGATTGGTTTATGATAAAAAAAATACAAGTGGATAATTGAATTGGAAATTAACATTATTTTTATTATTATATGCAACAAATCCCCCTATTGAAACAATTTCAATTTAAACCTTCTTTAGATTTCAATAATTTTGAAAAAGTAAAAAAAATTTTAAACATTGAAATTCAATAGTTTTCCCCAAGTTATTTTCAAACCAACACAATTTTTTTATTTAATAAACTTTCTAATATTTTGTTTTATGTAATAGACGTAGCATAAAATACCATATTACATGCTTTCATGGTTTTTTTTCTCATTAAAATAAAATTTATTGTTAAAGTCAACTTAAATACTTAGTTTTAATTTTTTTTCATATTTTTTAAATTCTTAATACTTGAGAAAAATATACTGTAAAGTAAAAATACTGTTAAAAAATTAATTTTAATCAATTTAATATTATTAATTTACTTAATTTAATAAGTTACTAACTTTAATACAAAAGGTAAAAATTTTAAAATAACTTTAAAAAATTGTTTTTGTTTTTAGTGTTAATAATAAATAATTCATTGTTACCCATGAGTCAATTTTTTCCAGTTTCAAAGCATTATCAAGGTCACATAAGGACCAGTTTGGATCATTTATATTAAAGACTGCTAAAAAAGGAGAGAGCATTATATAGAATGTTTAAGCGAAAGACATGCCATATAAACATGTATATTTTTTTCATTCTATCTCTCTCTCTCTTTCTCATTTTTTTTTTCAAACAAGCTTAAAAGCATACAATTGATTTGTATTTTATACATGTGTGTGTGTGAAAATAAAACAAAATTATGAATTAATATCAAATAATTTAAGAAAATTGTTTGATTACCAATAAGATTCATTAAATTACATAACTAATTAATTCTTAAAATCTAGTAACACCACATACTGCAAATGCATGATGTGAATCAAATTTATTAATTTATTCGATTTACCAATTCGACTAAAGGTAATTATAACTAAATAACTGAGACTTCATTGAGTAATGAATATGTTAAAGTTATTAGTTATTCGTTTCTATTAAGATAGGCCTCATAACTTTATAAAAATACTTTTAAATAACTTTTCAATAATTTTTTAAGTAATACTTTTATGAACAATAGTTTTTTGATTCTTTTTATAAAAAAGGAAATACATATTATCAAATTAAAAGTAATATTTTTAAATTTAATACAAAAGAGTTGAAAATGAATTGAAAACTAACAAAGAAATTAATGTTTATAATTTAAATCTGAAAACAAAATAAGTGATTAAAACTAAATGTAATTAACATTTTAATTAAATATAAATATAAATTAAAACTGATTAAATCTATATGAATAGAACGAAATTTGGAAATTTCAATGTAAGATACTGTACTATGTTACAATAAAATAAAACTTACCAAATTTTGAGAAACTTGACGTTCAATTCTAGATATTCCATTCATAATGAATTTAAAAAAATAACTAAAGGTAAGAAATTAACAATAAAATACATGCCATGTACTCACATCTACACAAATATTAACCCAACCACACTTACACACTGGAAATTCTAACATACATGGCATTTTGTTTCAACTAAGAAGAACTTAAACGGTATTGGTTGACTTATTTAATATTGCTTTTTTATTGGCTAATAGTAATTACGGAACTGACTTGATAAAGTTTATAAATTTTTTTCAATTCAATTAATAATAAAAATTAATAATTAAAATTAAATTTAAATCTAAACTCCCAAATTAAAAAAATTATAATTACTTACAAAATTAATAGTCCATAAATATGAGCG